TAAAAACCAAGGTTGTTTGATTTTTCTTTCCGTGATTCTCAATAACTTTGTTAAAGTGTTAATACAGATTGCATTATAACTGTGGATGATTGACATGATTTTGGATAAGAGGGTATTGTGGGAAAATTACAGAAGTTAACTACAAAAGTACTACCAGGCTTCTTCAGTGCCTTATTAATAAGCTTCCCTGAAGTTATAAAAGTAAACATTATGTTGTTTTCTAGACTTGCACCAGTTTCAAGAATTATAAAAGAACAACAACACACATCTGTTATTGTGCAGGCAAACATATCATGAATGGATTTAGATGTCTTTTTTTCTTAGCATTTCCATACCATTAAATTTTTAAGTTTACATTAAATGTTAAGGGACTATCTTATGAAGATGAAATTACACTCTACATTTACCAAATCTGACATAAAATCAATTCTATTTAATCTTGCAAATAAAGCAAGGTAACTATTGAAACCAAAGAATATCTTTTAAATCATGACATTAATGAAGTGAACATTAAATATATAAATGAAAGTAAGAATATATTGAATTGTTAGGTGCAAAATTGTCTAACAAAGGGAGTAAATATATAAAAGATGTCCCTCATCTAGCAAATGTATAATCCAGAAATGTATTTATTTGCAATTTAAGAGCAATCCAATTCATATGTGCTTTTTCCAAGACAAAGTACAATTTCCTAAAAGATTGTCCAACAAAAGACAAATAACATTCCTCCTTAAAATACATAATACAATTCGATCTGCAAAGAAAAAATAAATTGGTCTTCATAGCCTAATATTATTTCTCTCAGAATTTCTAAAAACTCTAATATTTAGGAGTTTTATTTTAAAATATCTATTATCACTATACAACCAGTCACATTATAAGATTAAGCCACATTAATTTTTTGGTTAACTCTACAGACTTTTACACAAAAATGAGTGAGTTCCAATCTTGGTTTTTTTTTCCCCCTTAGAAAAGTTATGAGAACTATTTCTTTATCTGTAAGATTAGAAAAGTAACACTATCTGACTCGCACAGCTATAAAAAAAACTAGGTTGCCATGAAAAGTATGTAAAATAGCCCCCACAATCTGACTAATGTTAAAAGAAATAACTAATAACTCTTAGTGACTTCCCATTATATTGAAGATTAATATATAAAAATGAACATGTGTACTTAGTAGTACAAGATCTACTTTAGATCTTATTTATGTTGATTTTGTGATGGGGAAATCCATATTTGAAATAGAATGATTATAGTTTATTTCAGTCATGAAAATGTATTAGTGATTATTTTGAAATAAGAAAGTTAAAGGAAAATGTATACTCAAAACACACAATACCATGTGTAGTTGAGTAAAATATTTATCACCTTCTGAGGACCACAACAGAGTCAAGTAGACTAAAGTAGCTGACCTAAACTAAACAAAAGAAAATACTTAAGACAAAAAATAGATTTCTCTGGAAGCAGAATGGGAAATAGTTATGACTTCAACTCTCGAATATCTTCTGGATATTTGCATTACAGTTGTGTCAATGGTGCACCATTCAGTATCACTTTATTCTCTAGCTGGGATATGTAATTGAGACAGTCACTATTTCTGAGGTGCTGAGATGCACTACTTCTAGGTCACACACGCTCCTGGTTCTTTCTACAAGCAACATACTCTATTTGTCTGCATGTTTTTACTCATATACTCAACCATGCAGAGAGAGGTCATTCAACACAGGATAAGACATAGGATAGAACAGAGCTGTCAACATACCAGTAAAGGCTGTATAAAACTGGTTCACTGAAACCACAAGGAAATATTTTGCAACTCAGTTTCTTAATCATTATGTTTCTTACAGAGTTAGATACCAATTTTTCTATGAAGAAATACACATTTAAAATCATAATATCTTAAGAAAAAGCAAAGCTCTGTAAAATGTGACAGATATTAGGAATCCCAATGTCCATACCATCTAACCAGGAAGGGAGAAGTGTCTGGCTAAATGTTGAAAAATTCATTCAAAGTCATTTCTGTTATTTAATTAGACAAATTCTTTACTTGAAACTTTTAAAACCAATCGACTTCATACATGTCGCCTCGGATTTGTCATTGTGGGAGTATTTGTATTATGAAAATAATCAAGCTACTACAAAGTAGGATTTCCTTCTCTATATTGCTCTGTCCCCAAAAGGTAGAAGTTGTAAGTGGGAGAACCAAAGGAAGGAATATGAATTTCCCATGTCACCATAACTGAAATGATTCATGTGGACAATTTTCCTGATGCCTACAACCTCAGGCTGCAGGAGAGTCACTTCTGCTTTCCAAACATGTGTGTATGTGAATGAAGGGGAGCTTGTGCCCCTATCAGGATCACAGTGAGTAATTTTGCTAAACATCTCTCTATAACTATTAGCAGAATACTCATGGGATCTCATGCCTAGATCCCAAAATGCCAAAAAAAATATTTTTTTTAAAGTACTGGCAAAGCTTCAGTCAACAAGACAATTATAATGAGTTATTGCTACATAATGTGAAGGAGAGAAAACTTAGCATAGAGTCAGAGATTCGTTCAAGCACTTCCATGCTTGGTGAGAACTGTGGGTGAACAACTGCAGGGACCATTGTTTGGAGGATCGTTCCTCTAAGCAAGTTACTAGCACAAGAGTTGGTCAAGGCTACAGGGAAAGCAGGAAAGCTATTGAGAAAGAAATGATAAACTGTGGACTTAATTCTAGTTCTAGCTGTCCTCCTTTCCTCAAACACCATGTTTGCCTATATATATATAACTGTGAATACTTTCCTTTTTAAGAATTAGGGACTATGTATAGTGGATACTGGCCAGTCTTCTAACAACCTACAACTTTTTTTGATTCAGTTCTCCCTCTTGTGGCCAGAGTATGTTCTGCCACCACATAGGGAAGGTTGATATTTAAAACCTAGCTCCTTTGATGATCAAAGAGTATCTACGAAGTTCAAAATCTATGCAGATTTAAAAGTCCTTCAGTAGGACTTAAGCACCTTTACACATATTAAGATCCTTTAATTGATTTCCTTTTTTCACTGCCTCTATTCTTTAACTGGTAGTGTTACTCTACTCTTACTACTGGTAGAAGTTTCCAAAATAAATTCTTTACACTTGAGTGTGTGGGTGAAGATCTGCAAGAAGCCAGATTAACATATTACCCATAGTTAATATCTATTGGCTTTATATAAATTTCATCAGATATATCCAATCATTTAATAACTTTCTCTTTTGCTATGCCAAATGATAATATTTTGTAAATAAAATATGTCAAGGTCCTTTTAATACACAGAATTTTTATGTACAAATGAAAACAAATGACCATCTTTCTGGCCATTTTAGTAGGGAGGTTAAATGATCTATTTTACTTGCTTGCATTTTATTGAATAAGTGGTGAGCTAACACATATGGTCAGTATGTAAAATGACACGGGCATAAATCATAGACCTTCTGTAAAACCAAATTTTACTAAAACTATCAAGGATACAAATAAGTTAAAGAATTGTTAAAGGTGCAGATGAGTCAGAGGAAGGTTAACATAGACAGGAGCTCCGCAGGTTCTCTGGGCTGAATGTGTCCCCTGAAAACCCTACATTCAAGTTCCCATCCCCAGTACCTGAGGCTATAATAGAATTCAAATTTCTTTAAAGAGCTGATTAAGTTTCATGAGACCATTAGGGTAGGGACAGAATTCAACAGGACTGGTGTCCTCATGAAGAGAGGAAGGGACACCGGGGGTGTGTGCATGTCCAGAGAGAAGATCCCATGAAAAGGCAGTGAGAGGAAAGTCAAGGGAAAAGGCCACAGGAGAATCAAGTCCTCCAGACACTCACTGTTGGCTTGAGAGCCTCGAAAACATAGTTTAAGCCAACCAGACTCTAGCATTCTGATGTGACACACCCCTCTGTCCCAGCTAAAAGGGGTCTCAAAAACAGGTTCCTAATGTTCCTTGTGCAGTGAGAGGATATAAACTACAAAACATCTCTATCATTCATCCAGTGGTATCATGTATGGTAAATATCTAGGAAATCTTGTCTCACTGATCCTCAGATTTATCTCCAGTCATTACCCATAGCCAAGGATATCTTACTAAAAGCATTTTTTTTTAATAAATACTTTTGTCCTTAATCTAGTTAGCTAGAGCTCTGATTGATAAGGGTCACACCCACCTCCCATAGTAGCTTTCTCCCAGGAGGCTACCCTTCAACTGAAGGGAAAAATCAATTCCTTTCACTTCTTCCCCCAAAGTGCTTTCAGAACAGATCCACTTCCCACGTTCAATATGAAATGACCTCACCACGAGTTCTTCTCCACTCAACTCTATCTCAATGAATAGAACTATTTCAAGAGTGAAATTAGATTCCACAAGTAAATTCCCATAAATTTTTTTTGCCAACATTCTATTCATCACAGTGAGACACAGTGACGTTCATTTTGTCCTATATTCGCTTGAGAGTTCATCTGCTCCAATCTACCTCTACATATGAGTAGGAAGGGCTGAAATGGCTTTGGGGAAATAAGATTTATTTTTTTCAAAAAATTCATTCCAATACCTACCGACCTTTGTAGTAATTAATAATAACATAATACAATATGAAGATGAGTCCAATATAAAATAATGAGCCCACAATTGCCATCTAACCTTACTGCAAAGTTGCTGCCTATTAGGAAGTACAGTAGCTTCAGTGAGTACAGGGGGTCGTGTCTTTTCTAACCCTGTGACTGAGGAAGACTATGGAAAATGTTTTTCCCTTATATTAATCTCTTCAATTACTTCACTTGGGACTAAAGCTTTAGAAATGCAAAAAGGATCTTGGCATGAAAGTGTAGAGTTTCAGAGAATTAGTAAGAAGACAGGATAGCTCAGTGACATGTTTTATAATAGGTCAGAAATATGTCAGCCTCTGATGAAACACTAAAATCTTTAAAATCAAAAAGAAATAGAAAGTGCAGACTTATTCTAAGAGAAAGCAATCATTTTGTACTTACTGAAGCTACATTCACAAAATCATCATCTGAGAGGGTTTCCAACATTTCGGAAACAGAGGTTCGGATCAGTTTAAGTGTCAAACCACTGACACTTCCACTCCTAAAAACATAAAAGAATCCCATACATGTTAATAACCAATATTTAACCAATATAAGAACACTTAAGACAACTTAGCAATGACTCTAGATCGTTCATATGATATTCCAATGATATATTGTCTTAAAAAATTAATAGTAGAGAAATTCATATTTTTGGCACAGTGAAAATAAATTACGTCTTTCTTTCTGACCAGTTGAAAAATGTATACATATCAACTACAAGGGAACCGATTGTATGTTCAAGTGACAATTTTGAGAAAATATCAATACACCTGGCATTTCGCCTAATCAGGAAAAACGTACCCAAAAGTGGTGTGTTAGCCAAGTGCACAGTGATGGATGGGGGTCTACAGTTGGTATTTTAACCAATAACCACAAAGTAGTATACCCACTGTGACAGCAGATAAAGCAAGGACAAATCCCTTGCTTTGTATATTAAAATGGATGTTCTCTGGGATTTAGTGCCCATATTTTCTTGTCTCTACATGTTCTGTGATCCTTGATGATCTGGTAGGTCTCATTGCTAAGCCCTACTAACTCCCACTTTAACATCTGTTGCTCCTGATGTTTTCCACTTCTGGACACTTTTAAACAACTAAAGGCTCATGTTTAAAACAAAGTATTCTCCTTTCCTATTTGCATTGTAGTACCAACTTAGCTACCTCACACTCATTCAATTTCTTTATCCTTCTCAATCTTCTACCCATTCAGATAATCTGTATTAATTCTATATCTAGAGTGTTCACAAGCAACTGCCATCTCTCCAATCTCTCTCCAATCTGGCTCAGCTTTCTTACTGAAGATTCTGAGCTAGGCTAGTAGTCACTCCCATACAGCTATTAATCAAGGGTAGGTAAAAATTCTGGAAACACACCTTGATCCAATACTGTTAACAGCTTACTGTTACCTACTAAATGCCCAACAATCTAAATATCTCTACATTAAAAAATCTTTTATAATCTACCTCTACTTTAGGCTCTTCTATCCCTTCCCCCCAGCTCCCTGACATTGACTCTGCCAGATGTCCTCACCCATATTTTGCTTATGTCAATACTTTGGCATAAACTCCATTCTCTCTTCTCTCCCCTCACAAGCCTGCCTTTTTGAATTTTAGCATAAGGATTCTCATCTCATCCACTTAATAAAGTCTTTCTTGACACTTTACATCCAAGTGCTATCTGTTCTCCAGAGACTCCCATAATGTCGTATTGTACTATATGTCCATTACCTTCTATAATTGTTTTTGTGAATATTCTTTGATTTTACTAACATATGTGAAGCATCTGTGATCAAGAATATCTTAATCATATTTGTCTAATTGTATTTAAGAGACCAGTAGTACGTTTCGGTGGAAATCACTTAGAAACTGTAATTTCAACTTGATGTATGCTTTCAATTGTAGGACATGCATGAGGAATCTAGGGGTTTTAATATGAGAATTAATTTATGGACCTTATCTCATATCCAATGGGGTTATATTACCATTTAGATTTAAGAATAATTAAGGATTATATAGGATACCGGTTCAACAGTAATTTAATTAAAACAAAATATGACTTAAATGCATTTTAACAAAAGAAACGAGAATTCATATTTAAGTAACATTTGTTGAGTTGTCTTCACTTTCTCAGTGTAGAAGGTTTTGAACTTGCTTACTTCAGGTCAGAATAGGAGACTCTTCAAATGCTGGTACTATTTTGTGATACAGATTTAATTCAACACAAAACACTGTATTCAGTTAATTCCAATTTGGCAAAGAACATAAGAAGATACAGTTTTTTTTTCTCTAAGAGAAAATAACAACCATTTGATAGTCATGTTTTTAATGCTTTAGTATTGATCTTTGAAAACGAACTTTAAGGTATATTCTACTCTACATTCCTCAATATCATTTTCAGTCTTATTAGATTGCTCTCACAAACCCCTTAAATTGAGGCAATGTAATAAAAGTACCAATGTAAAAACTCTTAAGTGTCTTCCTAGCAAATTACCATTTCCTTTAAAAACAGTTCAGTACATTCAATATGTTTAATATTTATATATTTTGTGATCCAATCCCTAAATGCTATTTGAATCATTAATGGCTAAGAAAACATAAATTATTTTACTTTTTTGGTAGCAGAAACTACTTAGACAGTAATTATGTACTTTAATATGATTTAAAATATAAAGCAAAAGGTTGGAAGAAAGTAATTTTTCAAAATGCTTAGATTATAGAACCATGCCATAATTTTTAACTGTGATATAGAAACTTCTCATTTTCAGTAAGAATGTTTTTAGTACCTTTATAACTTCTTTGGATATAAAAGTCATCATAACTCTTTGTTTTTTGCTTTTTTCCACCTACCAACCTTTCTCAAACCCAATATACTGCTCATATGCACAAATTCTCTAATATTCTCAGAATATAAGTAATAAATAACATTTAACTACTTACACATCAACCAGAATAAGCATGTCTTTAGGAGATGCAGCTCCTTGGATATACCTGAAACAAATAATCATATCAATGCTTTTCTCCTGCAGAAAATTAAACACAGATGTTTGTTCAACTAATATATACTGATCTCTGAGTTTGGTATTTTCTAAGCAGAGTTAATTCCACTCAATCTCAGTACCCTCCCCGCCATCCCCATCCCCACCCCCTACCTCTTTTGTTCATAATTCTGCAACAATTCTGAATTTTTAAAAGACTTATTTGACTTAAGGAGAGATGTCAGCTATATAGTATGTTTTGAGATAGCTTTAAAAAAATAATAACTGTGGTTTTAATATTAGGAGCAAAGGAAATAACTGTAGAACAATATTTTTCCTGGAAAATTTTATCCTAAACTCCAGTTTGTTGACCACAAGTTATGAAACTCATTGTCACAATAATAGTAAGGCTGTTCATGCTGTTAAATGCAAAAAAGTAAACACGAAAATAGTTAAGTGGGTAAGAATCTACAAAAGCAACAGAAAGGAAATACAAAGTCAATCAGTAATTAAAAACAGAACAATATATCAAGTGTTAATTATTTCTTTCAAAGGGAGACTGTCTCTTAAACTGTATAATATCTGGAATCACCTGGAGACTCAATTCAAAATGCTGATTCTTAATTTCAGCACTACAGCTTAAGAATGCTCATTTATAAAGCAATTCTAAGACATTTTTAGATTGGTCAGCATTTACAGAGAGAAAGGTGATTGCACGTGAAAGATCACAAAAGGTCAAGATACCTGACCATGGACAGGAACCAGGGGCTTGACATTCACAACTAGAGATCTGCATCTGAACTCAGCCTTCAAGTCATCTCTAACGCCTCTTTGCCAATAATTCTTAATTTCACTTCCCAGACATATGCTAGGTTGCTTAATTGCCAATTAGTTTTCAGATCATATCCAGCACAATGATTGCCTACTCATGAAACTGACTTTTTAACTTGAACCCAAGTTTGTTTCTCTAAAAAGGTAAAAAGGCAGAGTTGCCAGGATATTTCAATGGGAGACAAATCAAATTCTTATCTAGCATCTTAACAGAGGTCCTGTATGCTTCTCATGGGACAAGGAGAGGGCAAGAATAGTCTGCCTCTTCTGGGCATCTTGCTTCTCAGCGTCTCCCTAAAAGGATTAATTCCTGAATCCAACCATGTGATGTCTTAGTTACTTTGTTTGCCTCGATTCAATACAACAAGGTGGCATAGTCACTGCACATGGAGAAATGTTAACAAGAATAACATGTGGACTGAAAACACAGGTTGTTTTATATGGTGACTCTTCATGTAAACTGAACTGGGATATTTAACAAGGCAGCTGAAAACTTAAGTGCATTTCCATAGTATCAACCATTATCTATACTAGAGTTCATCTGAACTCAAGTGAAAAGAAATAAGCTAAAGGTCCAGTAACAGAGGATTTCCTAAATTATCATATTGCCTTAAAAAAAAAAAAAAAAAAAAGGTGCTGTGTGGGAAACAGGCCCTCAGCAGCATAAGTGAGAGCACAGGCCACAGAGCAGTACATGCATGTACTGGCGACTTATTTTAAAAAGATATGTCAACACATTAAATACATTTTTAAAAATGCAAGTAAAATACACAAGTTTAACAGTTGCTTGGCAGTGACTGTAATTATGAGTTATTGGTACTTTCTTTGTTTTGTCTTAGGAAAATGACTTGCTTTGAGAAATAAATAAAACCTCTTTTTCAAAATTAAAGCCCAACCTATATGACTGTAACTAGGAGGCAGCTCTTACCTTAGGGCTTGTTCTCGTTAGTTCACTACCAGAGGCAACTCATTTGCTACTCAACCAACACACTCTGCTAGTCTACTTCAGGCAAACTAAGAGTCTTTCAGTAGAAATCCCCACCAGCGAAAAGAGGTTTGCAGATGAAATTGAATATAAAACTCAAAATAATCTATTGGAAATGCATTTCATACAATATTTATACAATACACATTATTGTTGCCCACTTGAATTCATCCTCTTTGTTTACCTTAAATTTTAATTATATAAAAAATCTCCACCAGAGCACTTTAGATAATATCCATCCTTAAAATGGAAGGATGCTCACCAAGTTGTTAACAAAACATTTCAACTAATTTTGTCTATTTAAGCTTTTCAAGACAATAGAAAATACTCACCATGGTCTTCTGCGTACATCATAAAGATCAATCTTGTTTGGAGTTCTACTGTTATCAACCCATGGAGAAGCTGAATACAAAACATAAGAAATCACATTAAAGAATTACATATAATCTATAAAAAGACTACTTAAAAAGTCAGAGAACACTACAGACATTGCACAAATCTACAGCAATGTTAAAGTGGTAGATGGTGTTGGTGTGCCCTTAACACTTAGCAGTGCAAAAGCCAAAGTCAACCAAGGTCAATTTTTTCCTCACTATTTCAGAAATATTTGTAGACATAGTGATAATCCTGGTTGCTACCTTACATGTGTTCAAAGTTATATATTCTTTCCACTCTACTAACAGAAACATTTACACACACACACACAAAAACATGAAAGTACTTACCTCTAATGGTAACTGTATTTTTAATTATTTCACTCTGGATTTTCATTCAGTACTAAGTACTATAGTACTCATTTACTCATTCTATAAATACTGTTTTCTTGCATATTAAAAGCACATTAAAATGTATTAAGGTGGCACTGGTTTACAACAGTGCATTCTATGAACACCAGATCTTACCTCTACAGGCGTATGATGCATACCACTCCCACACTAAGACCATGGTTCTCACTGCAGTTCACTATGCCTCTGCACACCTCCACCAGCCTCTCCCTCACTCTCTGGTAGCGTCAGTGTGACAGTCAGATTTCTAGGGTTTACTGTTTTGGGCTGCTGTATCATTGGCTGACTTTTTCTTTTGTTTCTATATATTCCAGGATGAGTAAAACCATCTGGCATCTTCCTCTCTCCTTCTGGTTTATTTTTAATCTGATTAGTTTTATAATGGCCTATCCATGTTAAAATTAAAAGGTAAAAATGTAATTAAAATAACCCCACAAAAAATTTTACTTAAATTGATGTGAATGATCTAAAATAATTCAAATAGAGTACATTTTTAGTTTCAAAATTTCTATCATTTTGCAGTAAGCACAAAAGTCCTTTAACTGCATTGTACTGTTTACATCCTAACTGTTTTACCTCTCCTTTATTCTGAGAAATTATGGGTAATATGGAGAACTTCACCGAGAATCAGGTGTATTTGGCAATTAGTCTAAGTTAACCAATTAGACTTTGTCAAAAAATATGTACTTCTGCGTCTCAGATTGTGAAATTTTGTTCCTATTAGTAGCTATACTATACAATGACTTACTCATTGGAAATGATTAATCACATTTATATGACAGTTTAAATATAGTATGCTTCCAACAACCATTTACTGATACAGTTAATGCCACTGAAATCCTAAATTCATTTTAATTCTTTCAATATCCTTCTGCAGAAACAGACTCAGTATGATCAAATATCACTCTCTCTCTCTCTTTTTTTTTTCTTTTTATGGTAGCAACTGGAATTAATCAGCAAACACACTAGCAGGCATATCAGCTCACTGGTAACTATTGATCTACAATATCTGATTCTTCAAGTTAGAGGCTTAGTCATAAAAATTCAAACTATATCCTACCTTCATACAATACTGGACTCAATTTTATTGCCTTTCAGCTCAAAATTCAACATTACTCCTCTATGAAAATGGATCTGGGTCCTGTAAATGTGTTTAACCAGCAAGCACAATTTTAATCCTGGTTGGTGGCTGATGAAAGAGACACAGTGAATGCTGAAAGGGTTTTGCTTTCTGTTTCTCGTTTGTTTGCTCAGAGACACGAAGCATGTGCAGCCTTCCGGGTGTCTGATGTCTGCAACACAAATTAGCTGCAAAGCTCAGCACCTGCATGACTTGCATATTCTTCGGACTTCAATGCCTTCCATGTGAACAGACTGTCTACATCTGCTTCTGTTCACTCAGGTAATCTAGAATCTAACAGCCAACAGCACCCTGTGGGCACTTTTTTGCCTCAAATGCAACATTAGGAACCCTAGAGGGTAAACATCTAGCAAACCCTTCCAGTGTGATTGCTGCAGTGAATTCTCTGCCATACATAGGGTGGACCACGACTGTGTTACCTGTAAGGTCTGGCCCTCAATTGGGAGATTGAGGTATATACCTTGGTCACTAACTTGCCATCTGAGCATAGTCTCTAATGTATATTAGGATACATATTATTATGTCTGATATTCCTATATTTTATAAAATCCACTGTACTTCTAACCAACTCCTCATTATTCCAATTCATTATGGTTAACAATCATTCAAGAAATACGTACTCTTTTCAAAATATTGTGTGCACTGTCTATGCTGATTGGATTCAGACAGACATACACACACTGTGAAGTCAGAAAAAAGAAATTAGTCACCACACCAATACAAGAATGAGCACCATGGGGTCTCCCTGGTGGCCTGAAGGTTAAGTCTCAGTGCCACCACTGCTATGGTCTGAGTTCAGTCCCCAACCGTGGAGGTGACCAAGGTGCAGCAGACCTCTCCTGTCATGCCCATCGCTCCCTTAACAGTGCATTTCAGTCAATCCACCTGTTCTGCCTCACTCTGTCTCTTGTGAACCCTCACATATCTGCACGTCTGGTCTACACCCTACTTCTCCTACAAATATATAAAGCTTTTAAAAAAAATGACCATCATGAGTTGAAAACTATCAATGAAATGGTTTACTAGAACTGGAATTTAAAAGTCACATTTAAATTAGACCTCTGAATCTTTTGCAAAGCTCGTTCACCTAGGATCTCTGCTCTTACTATAACTGCTAATAAAATTTAATTGTATCACTATGCTCCATAAAATTTATATTTCAAGACTGAAAAAAAAATCTATGACTGACAGCATTAACCAGGCCATTCAGTTATAATGAAGTTTATAATTTTAGATTTTAAAAGCTTATATTTAAAATATTATCTCTTAGAAATCTTCTGTAATATTTATTATTGGGAAATAATCCCTTGATTATGCTAAATTAAAATATTTACATTGTACACAATTTAAACAATGCACTTTCACCTGTGATGCTAATAACTGATTTGCTATAAAATTCCATCTGGAATTTTAGTGGTACATTATTTATGTATGCTCATTTATAAAAGGTGAAATAGTAAAAAGGATAGTAACCATGCACTGCAGTTCTCTGAAATCAGTTTTGTAATGATGCTTAATAAAAGCTACATGTGTTGTTTCTAAGACTTCTGCAAAAAGAAAAAGTTGCTCATTTTGAATGTCTCTTTTGCATTCCAATAAGATTTGGGAATGAATGAAGAAAAGAAAAAGTAGGTGTGACATTTCTGAACCACATCATTTAAGGTGATGATGATCATTATACATCACAAGTAAACTACACATGTGTATTTTAATTAAAACTGCTGAAGTCCAATTCTACTTCACATTGTATTTAGGGGTTGGTACATCACTACAAACCACTGACTTAGAAAGCTATTTACCTCTCTATTACTCAGAATAGAAAGAAAGTGTTAGAAAAAAATTCCCGAGAAACATATGCAGAGCCATATTGGTCTAAAGTAATAGAACATGGTCTAAAAATAATAGAAAAGCAGTTTTCCATTTCAACTGTTAAGAAATAATAAAGAACATAGTGATGAATTGAGGGCTGAGTCTAAACACATCATTTAAATGACTACTAATTGCACTTCCAATGAACAAGTACAAGTGCATATTTCCAATTCTGAAAGACTTCATATTTTTGGTGTCATGAAAACAAAAAGAAATGTTACATACTCAAAAATGCCTTAACTGCCTTTAAAATCCAACCCTAATCCTACTGCCGTAACATAGTTGGTGTTAAATGGGTATTGTTTTAGGTCGGTTCAGTAATCTCATATGGAGGATCAGTCATAGTAAAGAATTTCAAGCTAAGACTGTAGACTTTTTAAAGCCAAAATTCATTCAATAAATATGTATTACATTTTTCTCAAAATTTCTAGGTATCTGAGTGCTGCCATCCAGATACTCCTTTCTTTCCATGGCTGCTGGCTCTTATCAAGCCTCCCAAATCAAGGCCCAGGGTGGGTCTCATTAACAGTGTGTAGATTATCACTTGTGCCCAGGTGCCCGAGACTCACTAAAAGTAAGTATGCCTGTATCACATCAATAAGCTTCCAGCGAAAATGAGTAATAGGAGACAAAGATGGATATTATATAATGATAAAGGGAAGAATACAAGATACAATGTAGGAAGGCCAAACAAATAAATTATTAACAGACCTAGAGGGAGACATAGAGAAAAACAGGACAGGAGGGGACTTTAATCCCTCACTACAGCAACATACAGATTATCCAGATCAATCAGCAAGGAAACGATGGCTTTAAAATGACATAGCACATAAAATGAACTTAACAGAAATTTACAGAGCATCTTGCCATAGTCAACAGAACTGACATTCTTTTCAAGTGCTCACCTACAAATCTCAAGGGCGTACTGTGAAACATAAAACAAATGTCAATGAATACAAAAAAGAAAAATGAAATAATATTCAGCTGCTTTGAGGTCACAATGATAGGAAATCATAAAACAACCACAAGAAGAAGGGGAGAGTCCTAAAATACCTGGAAATAAATGATACTGAATATAGGATTTCTCAGTCCGAGGGATATAAAATCCCTAGGAATAGAGAAGCATTACGAGGAGAAAAATTTTAGTAGTACAGTTCTACCACGGGAAACAAGAAAAAAGCACTAATTTAAAAAAGATAAGCTCAGGACCCTCCCTAGTGGCTCAGCGGGTTAAAACACAGCACTAAAGCCACTTCAGCATGAGTTCGATCCCCACCCCGGAGGTGATCCACATGGCAGCAGATCTCTTGACCCATCTGCTGCTCCCCTCAGCAGTGTACTCATCAGTGGCCTGTTCTGCTCCCCATTCTTCTCTGGTGAATCCTCTCACCGTCCCTGCATCTCTGGCCTGTACCCCAGTTCTGTATGCATAAATAAATAAATAAATCATTAAAAAAATAAAAGCTAAGCTCACAACTAGAAAATCAAGAAAAATAAAAAAAATGAAATAAAATTTCAGTAGGAGAAAATAACTAGAACATAAATTAATAAAATAGAAAAAAAATTAAAAAATCAGTGAAACCAAAAGCTAGTTACTAAAAAAGATT